CTAGTAGAGATGCCCTTTGTTCGGACACGCAATAGTTCTGGATGTCGGGGGGTAAGCCCAGCTGGCGTCAGTTCCCAAGGAAGATCACATTCGAACGTCAGATTTACGTTCGATGGCTTTTCTGTTTCGAGCTGTCGGCGTGTGACCGTCAACCAGGCTCATTGGGATGGAAATGGCATGCGATGTGTTCCGAATAGATCCAGGACCGGCAAAGAGGTTACATAGGTTTGGAATTTCTGTTCCAGGGTTTGGAAGCTGGTATACAATTGGGCATCCAACCCACCTCAGGAAACACTCTTTGCTTGCTCCTCCTGACGGACGGTGCGAACGCCGTGAAAACCACTGAAATGGCGACAGCTGTGGCAGCAAACCAGGCAGGAAGCTGTCTTCGCACAGGGCACAGGGCACCAGGTTTGCTTTGCCACGTTTGTTTTTGATGCATTGACACACTTAGCGTTTTTCGTTCAGGGTCGGCCAAAGGCATTGGCCACACAGCTAGCCGCCGTTGCCTCGGAGGCAATGCAAGGTGGGGACCTTTTGGGTAGTAACATGGTCAATCTTTGGTCTTTAGAACGGTCAAATTTTTACTACTTAGACGTTTTTTTGGTTTTGGTTTTGGTTGATGCAGGCACCTAGCTCTAGGGCCATAGTCGGGCCGTTCTTGGACCTCCGCCAGGTGCCAAAGATGAGGAGCCGAAGGATGTCTCTGTAGGCCTGTGATCTGGGCTGTGACCGTCGATTTGGCCGGTCCATGATGCATTTTCCATGTCACCTGGCTACGAACGGAGCTCCGGGCATCGAGCTACGTAGCTCCTGGCCTTACTACTAGGAGCCAGGCTTAAGAAAGGAACCAAAGGGCATCGCGGCATCGCGTAGCTCGTCCGGAGAGATCGGACGGAGCTGCGATCTGTGTGTTTCGCTACTCGTAGGCATCTTGGCCGCCTACTTCTCGGTGAAAGCTGTGGAAGATCCACCAGTTGAGACCGAAGCGGATTCCAAGAAAAGGTCCCTCGGTAACAGACACATGTGACATGTATGTGACATGTGCTGAACCATGCTTGTGAATGTCTCAACTAGCAACTAGATGTCTCCCAAACATACATAGCTCATCATCGCCCCCTAACTAGCAGAGAAACATCATTTCCAAACCCTCCTGAGAGAGCTATGTTTGTGTTGGGATGTGTACCTACTAGACTCTATTGGATCTATTATATGATCTTTTTCCTTTGTGCTTTACATGTTGGGCAGTAAGTACTCCCAGTCCAGTGTTGCAGCAAGCGAGGAAGGCGCCATCAGCTGAAGTTGTAGTAGGGCCACAGCCTGGGGGTGGACTACCCAACCGTCCCTTGGTCGAAGGCTGGTGGCACATGGCCTCCAATAGCAATGGCCGAACGAACAAAACGAGTTTGGCATCAACAAGCACGGTGCGTCAAACGCACGTATTCCATATGCTGGTCCCTTGGTCCTTGGTCTATGTGTGTGTTCTATTTTCTTGTTACTACTAGTAAGGCACTTGTTACTAGTAGCGTGGCACTTGTTACTACTAGTAAGGCTCGATTGAGGATTGAGGTGGGTGGGCTCCGATCACTTGACCACAATCTGAGCGTAATCATCTTATACACAAGCCCTTGAGCCTGGAAAGAGCTACAGAACTGCCACAGATGAAACGCATCCACAAGAAATCCAGCACCCACTCTCACATAGGCAGGGTACTGGTGCTTCTGATGGCATTTGGTTTCTTGGCTCTTCGCGCCGTCCTGGCTTTCAACATTGGGTTTTCTTGTTTCTTAAGCTGTCTGAGTGGCCAGTGGTTTGCACAGTGCACGGGAGAAGTAGATGAGCTGTTCACGGTGATTGTTGTAGTGGCCCAACCCCTTCCAGTCCTTTCACCAAGCACAGCCAAAGCAATGTGGAGCCTGAAAGTGTTGCACCCGCCACGAGACAGCTGCCACAAAATTTGCATTTTGATGTTCGCCCTGTTCACCGAGTGTTGCACCAAACTGGACAAACTGGTGATCATTTTTTGACGGAAAGCATGGCAAATGGCAGCCTAGCTCGGGGGAGTACGCTCGCAAGCTTGACCAAATGACCGTGAAGACAGCCAATACTTTGTTTGATCCTTTGCTTTAGACCTCCAGTGGGATGTTGTTTTGGTCCTTCACCTTGCCGCGGCCATGTTTTTGAGGAATTCGGGTGAGCCACATCCTGATGAAGTGGGAGTCTTTGAGCTCTCACGATCCAATGGCTCGACGTGCTGCACCAAAAGGTCGCTTGCAGGCCGTGCCTTGGCATCAGGCTCTTGGCGGCTTTTGCTTGAAAGAGTTCTGAATCAAGTCGGACGAACAAGGGCATCGCTACTAGGAACAAGGGCCTTACTACGAACGGAACAAGGCCATCGCTGCTAGGGGCTCCTGGCCTTGCTACTAGGAACGAGAAGCTACTTCACAGGCTCCGGCTCCAAGTAGGAGTGCCGAGATGAAAGAGAGGGTTAGAGTCACCTAGTTACCCAGTTGAAGTCTTCAAGAAGCATACTTTTGGATTGTCAGTGCCGAGACCTGAAGTCTTCTTGAAACTGCTTTTGTTCTCAACTTGGTCTACTTCCACAATAAGAACTATCACAGGAAGTCCTTGAAATCTTTGGCGGGATGCATGTTGTCGCATTTGGATCTAGTTGTCCCTGAATTCTTAGGAACCATTTTTGCGGGCCCTTGAAGGGACCTACATTTCCTTCGAGAACTCTCGCACTTTTTTTGGGCGTCCCCGAGTATGCTTGCTAAAAGTGTCTGAGGACGCTGAAAAGGAGCTCCTGAAGCTCTTGCAAATCCTCAATGAGATGCCTCAGAATACTCCAGATGCTGCCAAGAAGTTGTCTGCAAAATTTGCTGAGCCCCTGGACTTCATAGACTTGTTCGGGGGCCTGCCGCCTCTTCTGTTGCACGTCGATTCTGGAGTCGGATGGTAATCCAAGTTCGGGATAGAGTCGGATGTCCGGCTTGAACTTTACATCTATTGTTGGCAACCTTCGCCAACTCATGCCTCATGCTGTTGCATGTGCTACTTAGGTTGGCGAAGGCGGCGTGGGTGGGGATCCTGCTGCTTTTGATTGTTCATGCATCATCGGAGTGGTGGAGGGGGCTGGGGGAGTAAGACCAGCAAGATGAGCCTCAATGTGTAGGCGCATTCGGATTGCAACTCTGCGAATAACGGTGCTCTGGCCGACTTGGGCTGGATCGTGCCAGGAGCTCCCGGCTTGTGTGATCGGATGCATGTGTTCCGTTCGGTTCGCGTCCGATCGCTCCGTTCGCAGCGATGCCCTTTGTTCCGTACGTAGCTTCTTTGAGCATGTCAGATGTTGACTGATGAAGGACAGTCAGACAAGGACTTCGAAGCTGCCGCATTTGATCTTGCGGTCGCGCGGCTGAGAAGTTCCAAAAGAAAGATGAAAAGGGCATCGTGATTGTTGATTTTGTTTCAGCTGACACATGGCTCTTTCTTCAGTAAGGTTGGCGCGATTAGCGACATCGTGATCTCGCAGAGGGGAGCTCATCTCGTACATCGCCTCGCTTGAGCATCCACTGTGCGTGGGAAATCTCGAAAAGAAACTGGTTGAGCTGGCAGAAGCTTCAAGACACATCGCTTATATATAGTCGGAGTCATGGTTTGAAGTTTTGAAGTTTTTACATCCATTTCATCTTTGTTTGCGACTGCCTCATAGACCAGCATTTGCCACGCATGAACATCTACCAAAGCACACTCAGCTTGAAATGCCACAGATGGCGGCAAAAGTGGCGCCAAGCTGCATGGGTCCTGTGAGGGTTGTTGTGGTTGGAGGCCAGTGCTATCAGGTTGGAGGCCATTCCTATTACTCCAACATGGAACCCGAAAATGAACCGATGGAAGACCATTTTCCTTACACTTTAGTGGTTTGGGGTTCCATGTTAGTCTGTAGGGGAGTAGGAACTTTCTTCTTTCACCTATAAAGAGTTCCAAGTTCAACGACTTCGTTTCCTCAACCGAACGCACGTCGACTTCCTGGGCCTCTCTCCGATGGAAAGAAGATGAAAGCGGATTGTCACCGGTGGTCTCAGGTTTTGGGCCGTGGCTTTGACAGGTTTCTCGTGGACTCTTTGACAGGTTCTTTTTTTGAACTTATTCCTTGTCCAGGGCCTTACTTAGATCGGGCATTTCGGAATGCCTCTTTTGACGAGGGGCAAGATGGAGCAAGAAACAAGAGCTTTTGCTGTAAGTAGATATGTCTTTCAAGTTTTTTCTCCTCTTTTATTACATAGACTTTTCTTTCTGACGTTGTTCCTTTTTGACCTCAACGACTCACTACCCCTTAACGACTAGATACTTCACAAAGAATGGCTTCTTTGCTGCGCAGGTGGCCGCGGCAGATTGCAGAGTACTGCCACGGAAAAGGGAAAGTCTGATCGCATGCTGTAAAACTTCAATCCAGTGAATCTCTGACCTGTGAAACATATGAAACAGCAATCCTAGCAGGCCCTAACACCAGGTTGGAGGTCATCGCTACTTGTAGTAGGTTGGAGGCCATTGCTATTAGGTTCCTTAAAGTCTTTTTCTATGAGGGTATATATCCAAACCTTCCAAGTTGATCCTTTCATTGGTGTGCATGTGGACCCCATGGGTGGAGGAAGCACAAGACTGTGACAGGGTGCTTCCGTTCTTTGAAGACAGTTCAGCAGCTTTTGCTCTCAGCGCGGAGGATATTCAACCGCCAACCAACCACAAAGAAAACAACCACAACGCCAACCGCAACTTCTTGTCCACCTTGTGCACAAGACCGTCAATGGCTGCGGATCAAGTACCTTCTTGAAAGCCATGGGTTTGCGTCTGTTGGGTCTCAGAACAGGCAAGCCGCTGCAAAACATCAGTTAACGATAAGTTACAGTTCCGGAGCTCAGGCGGCGCAAGGTGCTCTAAATACCTCACCACCTCACCCAACCTTTACAGTTGATTGCAGCCAAGGGAAACCTAGGAAACATAGGACCAGCCCCCTACGACAGTTTGGGCGGACTTGGCTTCCAATGCACCTGCCGGCAACCTGTTAATTCGACAGAGCGAGGACACATCTTTGGCCTGGCTCGGCGTTCGTGTAAATGTCTTGTCCGGTCGAAAAGCAAGTCCCCGAATTCCGGAAAGAATTCCTCGATGGTACCAGGCAACTAGCAGATATGGCGGTTTGAAACTTCCATGGCCTCCTAGAAGTGCGGCAGAAAGTGCGCATGGAGAACCATGGAGCAAGAGAAGGCAAAGCTCAACAAGGGCAAAGCTCCATGCATGTGGCAGGGTGGCTTTGATGAACCCGATTGACCCAGGGTATGGACGGCTTCATTGTTTCATTGTTGGTAGTGTAGGATGACATCATGCCGGAGTTGCAGTGAGTTGCTAGAGGATATGCTCAACATTTTGCAAGCTAGGCCCAGACAGCATGACATGTGACTGAGGTGAAAGCATGCAGCAAAAGAACCCGGCCACTTGCCTAATGGCTTAAGCGGTTGTAGCAAGAATCACACCACTCGTAGTGCAAGGTCATGTGAGTCAGTATGAGACACATCACCAAACGTGTTTTCTGGTTTCCATTGTTTTACAACCCATCGTCCGATGTAATGCACTACACTTGTTACTACTAGCGTGGCACCTGTTACTACTAGCGTGGCACTTGTTACTACTAGCGTGGCACTTGTTACTACTCAGGATGGCCTGAGGTGGAAATCTGGAAACCTGGGGCATCTGGGCGGTATTCTCGACAGCGATGCCAGCGCTGGTGCTGCCCGAGCAGTGCATCGGACAGCTGCAGCATCCGGAAGTCTGTCTTCCAGGCTGAGGGGTTGATCTGTTTGCAAAGTATGTCGAAGCTGGATTCTCAAGTAGCAAGGACGCTACGTTCGGGGCTCCTGGCCTTACTGCTAGGAGCAAGGACGCTACTAGTAGCTCCTGGCATTACTACTAGTAACAAGAAGCTACGAACGTAACAAGGAAGACCTAGACTAGGACGCTCTTTCTCTACCCTCCCTCCTGGATCCTTTTGCTGTTCTTGGTCTCAAGTTGGTGTGGACAGCTCTCGAACCACGGTGAGGCTGGACAGCTATGCTTTCATCGCACCGAAACTGAAGCAGACAGAGACGAAACGGACACAGGAGTTTGCTCCGGAGTCCACTGAGGCCGCCAAAAGTTGGAGCTGCCTTGTTACTAGTAGCTTCTTGCTTTAGTAGTAATGCCCTTGCTACTAGTAGTAATGCCTTGTGCCTCACATACAGATGTACACATAGGTCGAAAGAAGAAAGGTCTTTTAAATAATGCACACACACACACACGCACGGCACGTAAGAGAAAGGACACCTCGAGCAATTCAAGAAGGTTCAACCTTGAATTACCTTTAGACCTGTTGGAGAACATCTCAGAACATTTAGCGCACAAAGAGTCACCGACCACTTCTGTCATGTTGTGGGGATTGTTCCCTCTTGACTGATTTTCGAGTGGAGTGCAGGCACAGGACTCTCGAAACGAGGCTCGAAACGCGGCCTGTAGGTGTGTCCTGAAGTGGATTCCTTGGTGCATCAGCTGGCAACTGGCAAGGGCGAATTCTTTGACTATGTCGATGCCCTGAACCCTCAGGTGTCTGGGCGAATTGCCTGGAAGGTGTCAGAGATTTCTAGAAGTTTGGCTCAGCTCTTGTTGATCTACTTGGACGCTACTAGGGGCTCCTGGCATCGCTACTGGGAGCAAGGACGCTACTAGGGGCTCCTGGCATCGCTACTAGGAGCAAGGACGCTGCTAGGGGCTCTTGGCCTTACTACTAGAAACGAGAAGCTACTAGGGGCTCCTGGCATCGCTACTAGGAGCAAGAACGCTACTAGGGGCTCCTGGCATCGCTACTAGGAGCAAGGACGCTACTAGGGGCTCCTGGCCTTACTACTAGAAACAAAAAGCTACTAGGGGCTCCTGGCATCGCTACTAGGAGCAAGAACGCTACTAGAGGCTCCTGGCATCGCTACTCGGAGCAAGGACGCTACTAGGGGCTCCTGGCCTGACTACTAGGAACAAGAAGCTACTAGGGGGCTCCTGGCATCGCTACTAACGCTACTAGGGCTCCTGGCATCGCTACTAGGAGCAAGGACGCTACTAGGGGCTCCTGGCCTGACTACTAGGAACAAGAAGCTACTAGGGGCTCCTGGCATCGCTACTAGGAGCAAGAACGCTACTATAGGGGCTGCTGGCATCGCTACTAGGAGCAAGGACGCTACTAGGGGCTCTTGGCCTTACTACTAGAAACAAAAAGCTACTAGGGGCTCCTGGCATCGCTACTAGGAGCAAGAACGCTACTATAGGGGCTCTTGGCATCGCTACTAGGAGCAAGGACGCTACTAGGGGCTCCTGGCCTTACTACTAGAAACAAGAAGCTACCAGGGGCTCCTGACATCGCTACTAGGAGCAAGGACGCTACTAGGGCTCCTGGCAAAACTACTACAAACAAGAAGCTACTAGGGGCTCCTGGCATCGCTACTAGGAGCAAGGACGCTACTAGGGGCTCCTGGCCTGACCACTAGAAACAAGAAGCTGCTCCTGGCATCGCTACTAGGAGCGGACGCTACTAGGGGCTCCTGGCCTTTCTTCCGAACAAGAAGCTACTAGGGGCTCCTGGCATCGCTACTACGAGCAAGGACGCTACTAGGGGCTCCTGGCCTGACCACTAGGAACAAGAAGCTACTAGGGTCTCCTGGCATCGGTACTAGGAGCAAGGACGCTACTAGGGGCTCCTGG